ATTTGAAGTGACTTGATAAAATAAATATGTTTAATTGCAGCGACCGTTCGCCCCCGCTGTCTCGGTGTTCTCCATCGCATCGACGGCCCTTGATCCGCACATATCGCGGATATAATCACGATAAAATGACCGAAGCGAAGAGAGAAGGGAGGAAGAGAGGTCACGCGTACGCGTATGTACGTACTTATTCGTCCACACAACCTCTGTTAGGAGGAAGGCAGGTGTCGAAGGAGGGAGCTCAAAATCGAAAGTACAGCTCGCTCACGGCTTTCGCGCCGCGCGACGTTTAGTCCATCTCGGTGTTTCGATCTAATGTAAACCGGCAATCTTCCTCCCGACCTCTCTACTACACTAACACTTTCTATTTACGTGATTTCTCCTCGGTTCTCTCGGATCTTGTCGCGTGTAGTCTCGAAACACCAAGTCTCTTCGCGACGCGAAACGCTCAAGAACTCCCGCGAACGAACATTCTTCATCCTTTCCTTTTCTCCTCTGCGATCTGGCAACTGGCTACATACAAATAATACATAGAAAGGCCCGCTTCTGATTGTAAAAGAAAGAACAAATTGGGAAATATTTTTATAGTTCGATATCGCGCCTCGATTTCGAAAGAAAGTTGAAATGAAGAACAATTAGATCGACAAATGTGTGTGAAAAATGTGATGTTCAATTGGGAAATCTTTTGCATAAATAAGTTCGTAAGAAATTTAATAACAGTTCAAAAATAAACTGTCCGACCAACTGGAAATTTTCCGATAATTCATTAAGAGATTAATTCCTTTGTTGACAGCAAAAATAAATTTCCTCGCGAATTCAGATATATGTAACTATAAATTGATTTTACGGATTTTATAAATCTTATAATTACTTGATAATTTTATTTTCGCTTTTAATAATACCATATATCAAACTAATCGACGAACTAGAAAAGCCACGAAATTGGTAATTTTCTACTCGAGCAATTTTACAATCCCAAGAGATAATCCATGAGAATGATTTTAACAAGTAGTTTCTTTCTGAAGGAAAGAAAAAACTAAATAATTGAGGTCAAACAAGTAAATCAGTTGGAAAATATCAAAACATTAACACAAAAGAAACGAAGAATAAATGGCAAACATTGCTTGCGTGCAAAAGCATAAAGTTAGCATAACAACATGAAAAATTACAGCTACTACTTCCTTATCTGATGAATAACAAAAAGGCGTTAAACATTGGAACGTAAGCATTCCTGTAACAATTCGAATTCCACTTGAATCAAATTGAATCCCTTAGGACGCTTCAATCCGACCTGAAGAAATCGTTTTGCTAAAAAAAGTTTTTCTTTTTATTAAAAATTGATCGACTATCCGCCAAGTAGAAAGTATCGAGAGGATCGTCGTTCGCTTTTGCTGAAAGCACCTACAATCTCTAATCAGGTAAGAAAAACAAGATCCGAATAAAAAATAATTAAATCAAGATTAATCGAGAGAAATTTAATCTTCTGAATCTAGGATATCCGTTATCGCATTAATTTATAATTTTTTTATAAATTCTTTCATTCATTGGTGATAAGCACCATATTGTTGAAATCCGAAGACTTTTTGAGATGTTCGTCAAGCGATTTTCAACGCTTTAATAGTAAAATATTATCTTTCTTCAATACTTTATAATTTTTAATTGAATGTTTAAATAAAGTTTCTATTAAAGTAAGTTCTATGATATTGATATTAAACAAAGAATATAAATTTATCGCTAAGCATAATCTAGACGTTCATTAATCGTTTATAATTTAAAAATTATATTTCAACATATCTATTTAGAGAAAATGCATTGCAAATCGCACGCGAAATTCATGAAAAAAGCTCATGGAAAACTCTATTAGCTTTCTTTAATAATGAAGTTATTCGTTTCACTTTATGACTAAATAATAAAGTAAGTTAAGCGCACTACAATAATCAATAATAAAAATAAATTATTAATCGCACATGCTAACAACATAGTTACAAAAGTAGATTGTAATATCTTTTTCGTCGATAAAAGTAAATCGAACGTGGAATATCGGCTTGCTGAAGTCATTATGAACATCCGCTTTCGTAAGTCCGTGCAAAAAAAGTCCGCTCAATTTGTTGCGATTCTTTTCGATCTTCGCTCGCTGGGAAGAAATGAAGAACCATAATTATGATTTTGCATCTTTATGATCGCACGTGAATCTGATTGCATATTGCATATTTTACTTCAACAGAAGGTTATTCTCGTCGCATCAACTCCGTCGTTTCTTCGACATGCAAGAGAATCGGCATGCGTGAAGATAAGAAAGTCGAACCAGAAATGCCAGCAGAAATGGCAACTTCTGAATGCGTGGAGAACGGAAAGAGGTGCGTCACAATTTTTCTTAAATTTCACATGCTATATTTAATTCTCAACAAACAATTTACGATTCCCGAATAAAAATTTTTTGAATTGTAATGCAACTCTACAATATCATTTTAGAAACAACATTGTTGCAGAAAGAGACATATTCCATCTGAATATGTCTTTCTTTATATTTTCTCAAATATTTGTAAATATTTATAATATACTTGTAATAAATGCTCGTTCTCTAAATGAATATTTCTTCAAATTTTTTTCTGAAAAAAACTTTATACATACATTTAGAATGGATAAAATATCTCTAAAAATATCAATTTTCCAAATGACAGATTTATTCGTAAAAAATATACAAGAAAGATAGAGAATTTCTATTCGTAAGATTCTTATAAATAGCTTTTGCAATTTCGTTTTTATGTTGGCCTTGAGTTATGGAACTTTGTTCGACAGCAAAGTAATAATCGGAAGAATATAGCGCTTAAAGGTACAGACATACCGTATGCACGTAACATGAGCTCATTCCTTTGTAAATGTGAGTCGATGTTATACCATAGACTTTAAACTATCAGCCACATTATTATCACGTTACATACACGTGCTATGATTTTGTGGTAGCGCACATTTTTTCAACGTGATATATCACGTATTATGTGTATAACATTTAAGAATGGAAGAACTGTTGATCGAAGGTGTATGGAAACATTCCCGTGTTGTATGATATAAAATCACATCATTAATCAAATGAATCAAAGGATTCGATAAAGCGTCAGAAGACTTGGGAAGAAATTGGACAGGATTTAAAAATGACTGATAAGTTTTTCTCCTTTGTTTTATTTTTACAGATTTTACAAAAATAGGATATAGCTTCTTGAAATATATATTTCAATAAACTATATAATTTCATAATGTATGTACTAATTATTCTGTAATCTTCCTTTAGGAATGTTATCTGTTTGCTAATTTGTTACACGTTTCTTTTTTAAAATCACATATCACAGAGTGATTGAGCACATGACATAAGTATATTTCCTAAGCACGATATCATGCGTTATTGCATTCGACATAATATCACGTAATATCAAGTGAATTCGTCACGTCACGTGAGTACCTGTGAGTATCTATGTGTACTCCACCTTTAATGGTCTTTTCAATATCAATGTAAATACGTTGTGTAAGATTAATCGCGGTAATCGTGAGATTCTTTCAGAAAAATTCCATTACTATTCTTAAAAAAAATTATTGTAGGATGATGTCACTCGATCGAGTACCGTACGATTTTTTTCCTTCCAGAATATTTCTACGCTGATACAACTGTCAAAGTCAATATATTCTCTTATAATATGTCGAATATACGTCGAATAATTCAGGGTTAAATGGGCCCATCTCGCAGGACAATTTTTTTGTTTATGTTCGTTCCAGCACATTTGCATTACATGATTACAGTTTTAATTTACAAATATTCAGGATATGTAGAAGGAACTCGGCGTTAATAATATGCAAATGAAAACAAACCGAGAGCCTGAGAGTTCATTACTCAAAATGTGGTTTATCGACTTTCACGGTGATTTCGCGGCGAGTCGAGCACAAGTCATCGTAATTGCGGGTATCATCAACCTTGAAATGACGGATCTAAAGAATTAAAAAGCCAAGGTGCCGCATCTAATTGGTTTTCAAATGGGCATTAGAGGGGAGGTTGTGGCAAAAACACGTCAATGACATAATTTCGCGAGTTCCGCGAGACCAATGTAGAATACGTATAATGACGTTATAATCGCTTCTCGAGATTTGTCAAACGATTAAGTACGATGAAGTAACAAAGATAATGATATGAGAAATAGCTTCTGTCGTCTAAGTTTTGCTTAACGCGCGTTCGTGTAAGTGTATGTTGAAATTTGGCATATTATCGAATTAACCACTTATAAAGATGTCTGATAGCGAAACATAAAGTCAGTTTTATATATATATATATATAAAATCTATTTTTTATTTGTTAGCTGGTCCATTTAAAAAATAAAATCTGAATCATTTTATTTCATCAAATATAAATATAATGTTTCTGATAAATTAATCATATAAATTAATCAATAAAAAAATTAAAAGAACAAAAATATTACAAATAAAAATATTAGTAAAGATGGCAAGTAAATTAAAAACAGTATTGAACATTTTGTGAGCTCAAGATGTCAAGCACACAAGATGTACATATCCATTTATTAAAATTTATGACGTTTCAAGACAATTTACGTGCTACACGTTTGTGATAAAAATATCTCATGTATCCTTTACCTTTGTTTTTTTAATTATTTCAGAAAAGAAAATTATATACTGCAAAGTTATATGTGACTAAATTTACAACTTCAGATAAAATTTGATAAAATATTAAGAAAAACAAAATATTATTGAATTGTTAACTTCATCATTCTTAATAATTATCTTTTTCGATTTTATGAGATCTAAATTATCGCGACGATATGGTTTCTTACCATAACATACACATTTTATGTTTTACATCAAAATAAGAGCACGTAATCGATCGTCAAACATATTATCCTTGAATTAATCCTCGAATTACAATTAGAAAATAGAAATAAATGAAAAAGAGATTTTATGGATTGACACTGCTATTAGATTATTGCAAAGAATAAAATTTTAACATGCTAAAGCATTTTCTACTTTATTCTATAATATTCATCGATTTGACGTTTTTCACGATCATGAATTTTATCCTCTAATTTCATTTCATCCTCTAATTTCTTTTATTATTCTTCCAACCGTAATAAACGACGAGCGGCTTGCTTATTACATTTTGCGGATTAGATAACGAATTAAAATCCAGACATGAATCCGCGTATGTTGAGAGATAAGATTTAAGTCGGGCGACGCATCGTCAATTAGAAATCATTAAATCAAATCGCAAGATTAATTACCTTAACGCCAATCGTTATTAAATGAGACCAAAATAACCGGCAGATAATAATAATAATAATAATAATAATCTGCCGTTCGCAAATCGGGTCATTGATCGACAATCTCATTGCATTAATGCCGCCTTCGTGCCTTAATAAACTAATTAATACTCTACGCGTCGATCGGAGCTCTCGGCCAGACGAAGCTAGCTTTGCATTTGATCAGGTGACATCGAGAAATCTCATTAATATAATAATCGCTTTAATCGGTGCTGCTTCTCCGAAGTGGCGAGACGTTTTTAATCGCACGGTAAAAAAACCCTCGATGCAGCTCGCGTTCTTAGATATTAGACCCGAAAAAGTGCACTTTTGTGCAAGCTTGACCTTGTCATGCAACAACGTGGCGATACACGTAATGTGTAATAACGGTAGTAATTGACGAAGATAGGCCCGCGTTCAATTGCAGTATTCAACACAGTGCTTCGTGCTTTTTGATAATTGTTTGACATGATAGACCACATTACAGCCAAGGATAGAAATATTACGAGATAATGTTATCTGCGAGGAACAGAATGACGCAAAAGTAAGATATTCGTCGCACGTGTCGCTTTTGTAGATGATACGTTACGAATGTTCATGTGAATTTTCGTGAGTTAGTTAAATTCATTTCATTTCCGGAGGACGGAATTTTTTTCGCTAAAAGAGAAAAGATTTGTGTGTAAATCCTGTACGATAATAAGATAAGTTAATAAAATAGTTAACCAAAAAAAATCTTCGGTTAACTATTTGCGAAAATCTTTATATAATTTGTCTAATGCTACGAATATTTTATCTTGGGAAAGAGACCCATTTTTATCTTTTAAAGACAAATATTACGCAATTCGGTTAATGCAATATTCGAATAATGGAAGATCCGAAATAATGGAGTTTCAAATAACGGACGTTCATAGTTTTTGTTATGACAGAATAAACCGCAAAGCGGTGATAAAATCCAGTCACTAAGCCCGTTGTCGAAGCTCGACCGAGTTTTTTAGATAATCTTTTGATAAAATCTAATTTCCTGCGGCAATCAATGCCGTAGGTCAATTAATGTCCTATAACGGTGGAACAGCATTAAAGTCAATGCACATCACGCGCATGCGAAGGACATTCGGTTAGCATATTTCATGAGTGATTAAAATCACATCAGGGTTTGATCAGTAAATATCACCAAGTACGTTTGGTTCTTCAATATATGTCAGAAATTTCATAACTGAATGACGCATTTTTTAAACTCTATTAAATCTATACTTCCATTTTACAAAATTTTAATTTTTAATTCAAGAAGAAAAATTAAATTAACTAAAAGACAATTTTTTGGTAAATTTTGTTTGCCCATTTCACGATCAGATCCTGTAAATCGCAACTTCGTTTTTTTATGTCCACAAATAATCAAAAACATAAAGAGTATGCGAGAGTGCAAGTGGGAAAGAATAATAAGGATTTATTAAAATATAAGATAATAATTAAAACAAATAGCAATAATTGAAATTAATAATTAAAAAAATCGACGGTAATGATAATCGATTAATTGTTGTTTAAAAAAATTAATTCCGGATAAATTTCTAAAAGACACAAGTTTGTAAGTTTTTCTTATTTCACGACTAGATGCAAATATAAATCGCACCTTCGTCGTTTTTGTCAATTTCGCAAGTAATCAAAAGCATAAAACGTGTACGAGAGTGCATGTGGGAAAAAAAACAATAGATTTATTAAAATAATAAGATAATAATTAAAGCTGCAGCAATAGTCGAAGTTCAGAATTAAAAAATCGTCAATGTAGTGATGACCGATCTAATTATTATTATTAAAAAAAAAAATTATTTCCGGATAAATTACTAAAAGACACGTTTGTAAATTTTTCTTCTTTCACTGACTAGATGCATTCTGTGATTCGCATCTTCGTCCTTTCACGTCTGAAAAGAGTGTGAGAGAGTGCACGTGGGAAAGGACGGATTTATATGTCCGAGCAGGTGGAAAACGGGATTGCGTTACATGATTGGCCACGTTACATCATCGCTGGGCTCATTTCGTTCAAAATGAGAGAATGGCATGCACTTAGTAACAGCGACATACTTTGCCTAAAGCTAATCATGCCTAAAGCTAATCAGACAATTAACCGTCTGCATTAACCTGAATCTAACACGAATCTATGAGTAGATTTACCACGAGCGGAAAATGAATGAAAATACGAAACAGGTGAAATATCGAAATATAAGAAAACAATACGGCAAAAGTGTGTCGAGTAATATTCGCCTAACCGCGCGACCTCGCCTATTCATTCTAATCGCTGCATTGTTCGCCGGCGTTTCGCTCGTTGTAACAATTTTAAATCATCACGATTCAACACAAAAGGCGCCTCCACCGTTATTGCGCTTATGTAATTGCGCGCGTTCTTGAACATTTGCGCAATGTAACATGTGGATCATCGTAAACCGGTTCGTTATTCTTTCTCCCTTTCTTTCTTCGCAAACATTCTTACGGGATTATTAAATGATTTTATCAGAGTCTTACGGTGAATGTAGTATCCTTTTTTTTTTGTTTACAAATGCATAATTCCACGGACATTTCGCATTCTGTTCCAATTCATAAATATGTTCTTGCTGTTCTGTACTTTATGCAAATTTCAAACTACCTGCGATTTTTAAATGGAACAATAAGTAGAAAGAAAGAAAGGTTCATAGTTCTTCCGTCGAAAGAATTATCGACCGTTTTTTTTTTTGTTTTTAGTTTATTTTCGGAACTTTTTTTATGGGCTAAGTGTAATGTAAAATTTATTTATACGATAGATAAACGGTAACAAAAAAAATGACGTATAATTTATGGAATGAGGTGAATTAGCATAAAAGTATTAGCATAAAATTACTGTCTGTTGCTGTCTAGCTTGTCTTTACAATTAATGATAGTTCGAAGATTAAAAAT